GTGCCATTCTTCCTAAGTGCTTTCATTTCCTCAATCATGGCTAGTTTCCATTCAGAGGTAGCAAGAGCATCCATCCTAGTTTTCTTTATCTGAAACATTTATTTCCAGAATTATTTAAAGGGATTGATTGTTTTTCTTTTCATTGTGAAAGTTGCATTTTTGCAAAATTTCATCGCTCTACTTATTTGCCAAAACCTTACCAGGCTTCAAAACCTTTTTATTTGATTCATAGTGATGTTTGGGGCCCTTCTATAGTGGTGTTGGTGGTAGATAGTGGCATGTATATAATATGATAGTGGTAGATAGTGGTAATATATAATATGTAAGTGGCATATAATGGGTTATGATGATGTTTGTAATATCTCCTATATAAGGAGTGTCATTTGGTCTTGTAAGATGAGAAGTTTTGAATATAACAGAAATATATTCCTTCTTCCTCATATTTTCGGAGTTCTTCTTCTTCATATTTTCTAAGTGCTATGAATAATTGTTTCCACTTATTCAAGCCTGCCACGTAGCTCACTATATTTTTTTCGTTTCTTTTCTTTTCATCACCTCACATAACATTTAAAGAAATTGATAAAGGGCCAGATACAGTGTAACAAATCTATCTGATGCTCGGAAACAGTTATTGCACTCATATATTCTCAACAATAATCACAAACTAGAATTAGAAGCCCCCTTTGGTGTGACAATTCTATCTGATGCAATGAAGCAGATATTGCACTCATACATAACCAAGGCAACAATAATGACTAACTAGAATTAGAGAGGCCCTCCAAGTAACAAATGGCATGAAGCAGCAAAAAGTTTGCAAGAGAAAAGAGTGAACACAGCATGAGAATCAACATCAAAAGCTAAAAATAAAAAATAAACAGTTAAAAATGACAAATGTTTAGAGGATATTCTTGAGCTTCACGGGGTGGGAGTTCATGCGGTGATGGAAGAGTGAGGAGACGAGCTTGGGCAGAGAATTTTGGGAAGTACATCGACAACTCTTTCAAGATTGCAGCTGGAGAAAGATGAAGATCTGGGAATGCAGGTATGACCGGATCATTCTGCAAGAAAATAACAATTATTATTGAGAAATAGTCCACGATCTATTAACTTGTCAAACTCAAGTTTTGAGTAAATAGTATGTTGTTATATACCTTGAATATATTGATCAGTCTGTTAATTTTCACCCTCTTATATAGTGATTCACTATCTTTCTCAGATGATGTTGCCAAGACAACAAGAACGGACAAAACACGAAGAAGAATATGCTGTTCTCGAAACAGAAGTGCAAAATCCAACTCCAGAGACTCAACAGCGAAAACTATGAGGACCTGAAGAATGTCTGCTACACGTCTTGAGCTTCACGGGGTGGGAGTTCATGCGGTGATGGAAGAGTGAGGAGGGTGAAGGAGGAAAGATGCGAAAGAGATCTGGAGCGCTGAGATAGATGAAGTCGGAGAACATGGTCGGCATGCTCGAGTTTGGACGTCTGTCACGCCTTCGCGCTCGAGTATGCTCGAATCTCTGAGGTCGCTAGGCTGAAGTGAAGCAGCAATGGTGAGTAGCAGCTTGGATCACACGGCTGCGGCGGTCGCGACGTCTGCGGCAGCCGGAGCTGGGACAGGTTAGTGGTGGTGTTGTGTATGTGTCTGGGTTGACTGGGTGAGCTTAATTTTGAGTCATCTCTTCGTTGCGAAAAGTGGACTAGTAGTCGTGATCTCTTTGAGGGTGACGATGAGGAGTCGGAGAGTTAGCGAGCTCTGTAGACATCGGAGTAGGCGCCGGAGCCGACTCGATAGAGGATCTTGTACTTGGAGGTGATCTCGCAGTGGGTGTAGATGCTCCAGCTCTTTGCCGATGGTGGCGGCGGCGACAGTGCATCTATGGTGACTGAGAGCGGTTTTGATGATGGGTCCCCCTATTGCTGGTGCGTTCTGTTCAGCAGTGGCAAGCCCAACAGCAGCTTTGTTTTGGAGGGAGGTGTAGCAAAGGTATCTAGGCCTGGATGCTTTAGTGGTGCCAATGATGATTGTAATGGTAGTTGATGATGATGCCTCTAGAGGACTGTCCGTTACTGCCATAGTTGGGACTGCTTCCAGTTCTTCAAAATCACTTCTTGTACTAGATGAATATTGGTATAAAAGATACCGGTTGTTCGGGCGACGATGGTGGCCCAATCGGAGGCGGAGTGGATCTTTTGGGTTGATTCGGATGCTGTGTTTACTGATATGGGTTTGTCCGGCGGACGGCCAAGGCGAGATTGCTCGCCGCCAGTGAAGCAAAATTATTAGGTTCTTAACCTCGCTTTGATACCATGTTAAAATAAATGTATAAAGAGAGAGAATAAATTATGTATATATTGATTGTTGTAGTTTACAGTGATTTACAACACTCTCATTTATAGAGAGGAAATGTGGTACATACGATACTAACTAACTAACACCGAAAGCAGAAACATTGTGCCTGTTTGGCAGAGCTTAATTACAGCTTATTTCAGCTTTCAGCTTAATTTAAGCTATTTTGATGTGTTTAGTTTAGCTTATAGCTTATAGCTTATAGCTTTTTGGAAGTCAGAAATCAGCTTATTCTTTGAGTGGGGCAGGAGATACTTTAAGAATAAGCTGGAAATCAACTTAAGCTGAAAGTTATAAGCTATAAGCCGTTGAGGCATAAGCTATAAGCACTTTCCCACAGCTCTACCAAACAGGGCCATTGTAATACCATGGATTCTCATCTTGTACCTCATGTATGGCAGCAACCAGCTCGTAGGCTGGCACGAATTTCTATTCGATGATAATCAGACGCATTCGGACTCCGAAATGGATGTCTATCATAGAAGATAGAGTTGCTAATGAATCAACGAACCCGTTGTTCTCTCTTAACAGATGAGCGAAGTTCAGTTTCTCAAACCAAGGAATCTGAGCATCCAAGGTCTGGTGATAGATTTTCATCTTTTCTTCTTTAACTTTCCAATCTCCTTTAGCTTGAGATACAACAAGGTTTGAGTCCCCGCTGACATCCAACCGTTTTGCCCCTAGTTCTAGGGCGGCTTCTAATCCAGCAATACATGCCTCATACTCTGCCTCATTGTTCGACACTCTGAACTAGAGTTTGAAAGCTGAGGGTATGCGGGAATTGTCAGGTGTTATCAGCAACACCCCTATCCCATACCTGTATTGGTTTGACGCTCCGTCAAAGTGCATCGTCCAAGTTTCTTCTTCGACACGTAGAATGGCCTCGTCTGGGAACAGATACTCAACTGCTTCATTCCCTTAAACTAGGTGATCGGTTAGGAACTCCGCTACCGCTCTCCTTTTCACTGACTTGCGCATCATGTACTTCAGATCAAATTCGGAAAGCAGAAGCAACCAACGGGCTAGCCAACCCGTAAGTGCTGGTTTCTCGAAGAGATATTTGACGGGATCTAATCTCGAAACTAGTATTACAGAGTGAGCTAATAGGTAGTGCCGCAGCTTCCTGGTAGCCCATACCAAGGCCAAACAAGTCTTCTCCAGCGGAGTGTAGCGGGTCTCGTAATCCAGCATTTTCTTGCTCAGGTAGTAGATAGCCTTCTCCACTTTGTCCTCAGACTCTTGTGCAAGCATACAACCCATTGTAGTTTCAGTCACTGAGAGATACAGAATCAACGGTTTCCCCGGCTCAGGCGGTGACAACACAGGTGGGTTCTGTAAATATTGCTTGATCTGTTCAAAAGCAGCTTGGCATCGACCGTCCAATTGGAACTTCTTTCCTTCCTTCTAGAGACCAAAGAGTGGTTCACAAGTCAAGGTTAATTTTGCAATAAACCGTCTTATGAATTGCACTTTGCCTAGAAAGCCTCGCACCTCCTTTTCAGTCCTTCGTGGTGGCATTTCTAAGATGGCCTTGATTTTGGAAGAATCAACCTCGATACCTCTCTGTGTGATCAAGAACCCCAGTATTTTCCCTGATGTAACACCAAATGTGCATTTCTGAGGGTTTATCCTCAACTGATACTCTCCGATCTGTTGAAAGAATTTCTGCAAGGTGGTGTAGTGGCCCTCTCTTTCTTTGGACTTGACAATCATGTCGTCCACATACACCTCAACCTCTTTATGGATCATGTCGTGCAAAATTGTGGTCGTAGACCGTTGATACGTAGCCCCAGCATTCTTCAGCCCAAACGACATCACCCTATAACAATAGGTTCCTCACGGGGTGGTAAAAGCAGTCGTCTCCCGGTCTTTGGGTGCCATCAAGATCTGATTGTAGCCAGAAAACCCATCCATGAATGAGACCAATGCATGCTCAGCAGTGAAGTCCACTAATTCGTTGATATGAGGCAGGGGAAAGTCGTCCTTTGGACTGGCTTTGTTCAAATCCCTGAAGTCCACATATACCCGAATTCTGCCGTCCTTCTTCGGCACTGGAACTATATTGGCCAACCAAGTTGGGTATTCAGATACCAGCAGGAACCCTGCATCAATTTGCTTGGTGACCTCTTCTTTGATCTTGAGAGCCCAGTCCGGGGAGATCCTTCGGAGCTTCTGCTTAACAGGTTGGGCCTCTGGGTCAAGAGGGATCCGGTGCTGTACAATCTCAAGATCGATTCTAAGCATGTCATCGTAGGACCACGCGAAAACATCTTTGAAATCTTTTAATAAAGCAACTAAGCGCTTGCGCTCCTCCGAAGACAACGCGGACCCGATCTGGACTAGCCGCGGGTCCTTCTTAGTACCAACATTAATTGTGGTGATTTCATCAACCAAGGGTTTTACAAACCTCTCCTGCTCTTGATCAAGCAAATATTGCAAAATCGGAGGAATTTCTTCCTCATCGTTTTTATCGAAAATTTGAAAGTCTTGATTAATGCAATAAATTAAGGGTACAGAAAAGTACTCGAAAGCCA